TACACTCCTATAGGGTCGCCATGAGTCAGAATTGACTCGATGGCTGTGAATTTGGTTTTTGGAAAGATTTAGTCTTGAAAACCCACTGGGGCAGTTCTGTCCTATAGTGTCACTATGAGTCAGAGTCTACTTAATGGCAGTGAGTGAGTTTTAAGGTGAGGTGAGGGAGTAATGAAATACCAGCTAACACACAGGAACCCAGCACAACAGTCTGATTCTCCACACACCAGCATCCTCAGCAAAGTTATAGAATTAGCCAAGTCTGACTTTTGTCTATCCTGGTACAGCTTCTGTGAAGTCTCCCAGATTTCACTGTCTTAAGCTATTTAACTCATAGATGTTAACCTATAGATGTCAACTAAGATTGATTTTCTCACCGACTCTCCAAATATTTACTGAGCATGTGGACACTGTGCCAGACACAAGGAACATGACAAAGAGCCAAAAACAAGAGCCCGTCCTTGACCTCAATCACATACATCAAGAGAGCACAGTTGCTCCACATGCCATGACAGAAAGGGCCGTGGCGCCATGAGAACAGGTGAGAGGATCAAACAGCCTCGTCCTTCTGCCCCAAGGATGTGATGTTCGGACAGAAGTCTGATTAAAGAGGCTTCTTATTAAAAGGAGCTTGATGAAGCATCTTAGTACCTCTCAGGGTATTTATCTGCATCCCGAAAGGCTTTGAAACCCAAAGGAAGGTATAATAATGATACCGATGAATGTGAATAGCTCTTTATGGATTACGAAGCAGCTTTTTCATGCTTTATCCCAGATTCAACCATTGCACCAGAGAGAAAGAACAAGAAATATCCGGTTCTCCCTTTTATCAGTGAGGAAACTGAGATTAATAACCCTGAAATGACACATCAAGGTTACACATTAAGTCAAGGAGAAGACTCAAACACACATCACATTACTCCTTGTTGGGAGTTCTTCCTACTACACAGTGCTGCTTTCTCCAGGAAGCTCAAAGGTGACATGACAGAAACTGGGGGAACAAAGGACACAGATCATCCCAAATAGTTGGCTGCCATATTCACCTAGTCACAGAGCAGGCCTGATGGTATGATGGCAGCAGCCTGATTTCAGCATTGCTTGCCACCCCTCACCCCCAACTAGCAACCTCCCAGTCAGCAGTCCTAGGGTCACCCCTAACTGGAGACTGCTGACAAATCTTGGCATTCCTTTGACTCATCAACATATACTACATTCTCAGCCTCCATCTTAACACAGCTTTCCCATCTGTGTATCTGTGGCTCACTTCTCTCTGTGGGTTCCTCTGATAAAGACACATGTCATTAGATTTAGGACCCACCAATCCACAACGATTTTAACCCTATTTCCAAGTAAAGTCACATTCTCAGGTTCCAGGTTGATATATAGCCGGGTATTCAGCCATTGTGTGCACAAGAAAACTGGCTAAAGGTACTACCTTTCTCAGCCTTGAAGAAAGCGGCAAACCTCAGATTAGGAAACAAAGAAGGAAGATGGTGGAGTAGATCCAAAAAGTTATCGCTAACCATCACTGCAACTCATCCCAACTCAATTGGGTGGAGATCCCCACAATTCACTGCAACTCCTAACAAATTGATGAAAGTCCCTAGAACGTGTCCACAGAAAACAGGAAAGCACAGAACGTGCAGAGAATTTCCATCAGCCTTACTAAGCAACCGTGGAATGCATGCTGGACTGGGCATCAGGAGATCTGGCTCTTCCTGCTGTGTGAACTTGGACCTCATCGACTGCTCTATAAAATCCATGAGCTGCAATTATAGTCAGTTCAAACAATGATTCTGTGTGCTTGAAGTACACTGGGTTTAAACAGGCATACTTTAATAGAAAAAGCACTTAAATCATTTAATTATTCCATGACCACTACTGAAGTCTGTACTATGTTCAAGTACAATGTTAGGCACTTGGGATTCAAAGACAGCCAGTATACAAACACTTCCAGGATCTGCAAGTCCTCTCTGAATCACAATATCTTCATCTGAAAGCCCATCTGGCTGCAGCATCTATTGATCATTGACTCCACCTTCCAGTCCTCAAGAACGTCTCCTTGTTTACCCCCAAACTAGATTAGATCTTCAGCTGCCCTCTTCCTTAACTTCTTGCTTTTTTCTTACTTACATAGTTACTAGTAGTGCACCTGTCTTGTTTATTGCTGAGTGTCAGCACCCAACACTGTTTGGTGTAGAGTAAGTGAATGAATAAATGAATGGACATGAGCTTGCCTCCATAGATGGGGAACTAGATGCTTTTCTTCCTCTGCCCCATCTACCGACTTCTCACCACAGAAGGGTAACAACTAGGAACATACTGGGCTGGTCAGATGAAATAATGTGTATTTAAGTAATTTTAAAGTTGTAAAGCTATATGACTGATATTACTAATCACAAGGCCAGAGGAAGCACTGAATCCCTTGCCCAGCTGGCTCTCCTGCTCCTTCCATTTTCCTCCACCCCCCACCTAGGTCTCAGGTAATGGTCACCACACTGAGCAGCCTCCAAAGACTCTATCCCAGGAACAATCCAACACTGGCCACCAATAGCTTGAAGCAGCACCGGACTGAGGACTGTGCAGTGATTATATTTGGGGGATCATTAGAGCTGAAGGTGAAAAAGGTGACATTCAGAAGCTTCTTAAGAAGCCCTAGTAAAGTCATTTGCTGAGGTGCTTCCATGTACTAAGGAATATGCTAGCACGCAGCCCTGTCCACAAGGAACAGTCTCAAATCTAGGATTTAGACAAAAGAATATAAGGAACATCCAGGTCCTGGTCTAAATCAGTTCAGCCAGGCAACCTCTGTGACAGCAAACAACCAGATAGTTCATTGTGGATCTGTGTCCTGCTTCCTGAGAGCACCAGACATATTCAAAGTGCTTAGTGGTTCTGGTCCAATAGTTCCTCACCAAAATAAGGAAAAGAAAACCTACCTACTTCTACCCAAAGTGGTACAAGTGCCACTAATTTGTGTGTGTGTGTGTCAGAATTAGCAAATGTGTGTGTGCATATATATATACATGTGTATATATGTATGCATGTGTGTGTATATATACATGTATGCATATCTGTATGGACATGTGTGTGTATGGGAGTACCCCCCCAAAAAGGGAATTATATGTGTGTGTGTGTGTGTGCATGTGTGTATGCCATCTAAAGTACAAATATTGGTCTCTCCTTGACCAGAGGAAAAAAGAGGGATGGAAATAGTAAGACATACAGAAACAATTAGTCCAATGGACTAATGAACCACGCAATCATCAGTCTCCATAACCCTGAGACCAGCTCGATGGTGCCCAGCTACCACCACCCACTGCTTTGAAAAAGATCATCTTAAAAGATCCTGGATAGAGTGACAGAAAAATGTGACCCCAAAACCCCAATTACAAAAGAAACCAGGCTTACAGATCAGATAAAGGCAGGTAGCACCCCCAAGACTATGGCCCTTAGACACCCTTCGGGTCTGGAGTTAAACTCGTTCCCACGTTAGAATAATCCATCAGTAAAGTCAAAAGGGCAGCATTTACCCAAGGACAAATTATAAGGGGCTAGGAAAAAACAGGGAATGGGAACAGGAATACCGAGGAAGTGGGACGAGAGATGGCAAGTACATTGTGGGGATTTAAATGGCTAAGAGGGACAAAATGTGTAGGAATTGTTGACTGTAGAACTTATGATCTGCAGTGTAGTCCTCCACCTAAATTACAATAAAAAATACACACACACACATATCTTGAAAGCACTTGACTTTTTTTTAAAAAGTGCCTTAGATAGATAACTTTACAAAGGACATCAAAAGTGTGAGAAAACAAAGAGAAATAGAAAGGGGGAGACACTGGTCCCATCACCAAAGCCTGTCTATTTATTAGCACGGGCTGTAGAACAGGCGAAGGGAGAGAAACCTATATTTCTCTCTACAGACGAATCTGGGCACCCTCAGGCAGATTATTCCATAGCTCTGAGCACTTCCCTATCTGAGAGGTGGAAACCCTCTTAACTGCCCATTATGTGTCCGGTGCAGGCTCTAGTAAGGTTGGGGGAGAGCAGCAGGTAAACGGCTTTCCAGGCACAAAAGCATTTCACAGATAGGGGCACCGTGATCTTTATCACAAACGCTTCCCTCTGAGGACCATCTGCTCCTCTGGCCAAGAGGTGGGGCCTGCGGTCCTGAAAGCAGGAGAGCATCCTGCAACCTAAGCCCAGCAGTCTCGGCCCTGTGTTACCCCGGCATCATGAAAGAACGGAGTCAGGAAAAGTCCTTCACATGAAAATCCCAGGCCCCAGTTCCTCACAGCTGTAATTACAGCCAAAATAGCTTTTGAAAGGGAGAAAAGAAAATAGCAGCCTGGACCAAGCAGTGAATTATGGGGTTTGGGGTAAAACACACACCCAGAGTTTTTGCTGTTAATGGTGGCCAGTCTAAACAAGTGACTGGACAGCCAAACCAAACAGCTTTCTGGCCAATTAATTCCTCCCTCTAATTTAATGAGCTTCTCATTAAGCTCTGGAAGCAGCTCACAGGGAGTTGCAGGAAAGGCACATGGGCCAGCAGGCTGGCAGGTGATGAGGGGAGGGGAGAGCGGGGCATCACTCCAGCCCCTAAGTCCTCCAGCTCCCACGCCCCGGCCTTCCACTGTTTCCAGGTGATATTTTCCTGTACAAAGCAGGGCTTCTTTCACTGCTTTCCTTACTGGAGAGGTTGCATGCCTTAAGCCTTTGGCTCCTCAGCTCAGGTCATCACCCAAATCAATATCACAAAGGACCCTCAACGGGTTCAGCAAGTAGGCAACACAGTCCTCTGGCCATCATCCCTCTTTAACCTAAAGTTTATAATCAAGAGCAGCCAGCCTACTCAGCACAGCTTCCCCGATCAGTATAGAAAGATGAGGTCTGGGGTTTGCAAAGAGTAAAAGGTGAGACCTTCCACTGGGGCATCTCCGGGAGTGGAGATGTTAGGGTTCTGGCTCCACACAGCCCAGCCACTGGTCACTCACCCGTATCCGGCGCATGGCAGCCACGATCTCCACCCTGCTATTGGGCCTTGGCACATCCAGGCTTCCTACGTACTGTGGAGAAGAAGTACAAGATCATTGAGAACAGAAACAGGACATGTCCCCAATCACAGAATGTAAGGGGGGGTCATTCAGTTCATTCCCCCCCTTTCCCCATGATATAGAAGAGGTGATTATAGGGCCAAAAGAGCATTATCTTGAGACTGGTACTAGCTTTACCAAAAGTACATATATAACAAAATATTTGCCTTGTCAACACCTTTTTTTTCCACATGTAGAAGTTCATGGCATTTATATTCACAGATGGCAAAGAGCGCAGAATTCTCTCAGAGAAGGAGCTCCAAACAAAACCAAACCCACTGCCACTGAGTTGCTTCTTACTCACAAACCACCCTAAACAGGATTTCCTAGATTGTAAATCTTTACAGGAGCAGACAGCCTTATCTTTCTCCCGAGGAACAGCCGGTGGGTTTGAGTCACAGGCCTTGAAGTTAGCAGTCGGAGAAGGGTTAGAGAGACTAATACGTTGCCTTCAGAAGTGTGTATAACTTAAACGGAGGATATGGCAAAGACCAATGGCTTCACCTTTCTATATTTTTGTTTAATAAATGTTTCTGTGATTCTGCAGCAATACTTACCCTGGTGTATTCATAGACAGGCAGGGGATTTGTTTGGTATAAAAAGGTTCATACTACTCACATTGTTCTGCAACTTTCTCTCTCTCTCCCCCTCTCTCTCTCAACACAACTTGGACATCTTTCCACTTCAAAGCACTAAGGTTTTATAACACACATGGTTATGTAACACTATTTCACTGTCACAAGCAGTGCTTCCTCCACAACGCTCCTCATCTACACAGCCGTGAGACTCATCCAAGCACTTCTGTAGGCTGGAGTTCTAGAAGTGGACTTGCTGGATGAAAGAAAAGGTCTATCTACTCTCTAGATATTAAACAAGGAACCCAAACCAAACCCTTCCCATTGAGTCAATTGCTATTCCCTATAAGACCAAGACTATAAATCTTTAAGGAGTAAAAAAACCTCATCTTTCTACCATGGGTCAACTGATGGGCTTGAACTGCTGGCCTTGTGGTTAGCAGCTCACTAGGTAACCCACTATGCCACCAGGGCTCCTTAAAACAAGAAAAGGGGGCTAACCATGTGGCACTGATTAAGCATATATGATATTAGCTTTTCCATACCCGCCATCCTGTTACCTAGTGATTCACTGGGGTTTGCTTTTCCTTTAGACACATAAATGACATAAAACAGCCCAAGGAATGTCCTACAAATTTGCAGTCCCAGGGTAATTTTTATAAGTCTACCCAATTGACATCTGCATGAGTAGAGGACAATGCGGGAGACTAGGCAATCGTGTCTGCAGGAAATGTACTTCCGGTGGTGACGGGAAGAGAAGGTTCTTCCTGAAATTTAGAGCTAAGGTTAGCCCAGTGAGGAGGGTTTCAAAAGCCAAATAAATATTTACATGGGATTTCCCCCAGTTATGGATCAACAGCTTGTACTAACACAGTGCAGAGCCCAGTCCCCAGCCGCCAGAGTAGGCAGGGCACACATTACCGTATCAGCCCCGGGCAGAGTCCCACCAGCCCCAGCAGGAGCTGCCTGATTCGTAAAGCCAGTTGCTGTCAAGCGGATGCCCTCTCCAGAGGACCCTGTGTGTGTCAGAGTAGAACTGAGCTCCACAGGGTATCCAGTGGCTTGTTTCTTTCTGAAGACCTTTCTGCCAAGGTACTTCTGGTAGACTCCTACCTCCAGACTTTAGTTAGCAGCTGAGCACATTAGCCTTCCGCACTATGCGTGAAATAGGAACGCTAACTGGTAAAGCCTTTAGAAACTCACTCAGGTAGACAAAGTCACTTAGAATCTAGGAGTTTGGTCAGATTCACCTGTGGATGGAATTTCCCCCTCTGTGTTCTGATAAATCATGGCAGTGACCCACTCAGTCCAAAATGCTGTCATGCTAGGTCCACAACTGTTCAATTTCAAAGACTCCCCAGCTGGGGGGCAATCTCCACGCTCCCTCTCCCAGAGGCTACACCAGGGGTCCTCAAACTACGGCCCACAGGGCACATGCAGCCCACCGAGGACATTTATCTGGCCCACCGGGTGTTTTTGCCCCGTTTTGTTTTTTTACTTCCAAATAAGATATGTGCAGTGTGCATAGGAATTTGTTCATAATTTTTTTTAAACTATAGTCTGGCCCTCCAATGGTCTGAGGGACAGTGTAATAGTCTAGGTACTTTGGAGAAACAAATCCACAGCGACTCATGTATAAGAGAGAGTTTTATGTAAAGAAAAGGTGCATCACGAAAACATCCCAACCCAATGCTGCCCAAGCCCACAAGTCCAACATTAACCCATTAACCCAACACCAGTCCACAAAATCCTCCACCTCACAAAACAGAGGCAATGATGCCAACTGCAGGAGGAAAGCTGAGTCCGTGAACGTGTAAGCATCTCAGCACTGGCAAGGGTCTCCACACGGCTGCTCCAGCACCCAGGGCTGCATCAGGATAGATCCATGCGGCTTCTCCTTGGGGATGTCTTGGAGGAAGTCAATCTTGCAAGCTGAAGCAGGGAACTGCTAAGGCAGCTGCACCCAATACAACCATCACAAAACAAGAGACCCGAGAACTAGAAAGGCGAGGCTTCACCACCCATTTATCCCTCCGCCTTTCAACCAGCACCACATGTGATTATCGGCCAGGCTGGCACAATTAACTAACTCAGACAGTGAACTGGCCCCCTGTTTAAAAAGTTTGAGGACCCCTGGGCTACACACTTGGTATCTCCAGCAGTGGATTGGCATTCAGACTCCCCAGGGCTCTTGTGCCTCTAGGCCAAGCATGGCCACCAGGGAGAGAGGGGGGAGAGGAAAGGCAGACCTGGACTGTCTTCCCTCACCAGTCCCTGCCCAGCCAGAACAAGTCTGGTGTCCAGGGCAGTCTGGAATTAGCTCAAACACAGACACCGACACGGGACCCAATCCCATCACCCAGCCTGGCTCATCCTCCTTGGAGAGGGTGCTGCTGGCTGAGAACCCCCAAATACCCACTGCCATTGAGTCAAGTCTGACCCACAGCAACTCTCTATAGCACTGGTTCTCAACCTGTGGGTCGCATCCCCTTTGGGAGTCAAACGACCCTTTCACAGGGGGCACCTAAGACCATCGGAAAACACATATTTCCATTGGTCTTAGGAACCGAGACACCACTCCTCTATCCGTCTCCTCTATCTATCTATGGGTCTGCCCATACGAGTATCTGCCACGCAGATACACCCACATACGAGTACCTGGCATGAAGACTGTGACCCATGCTACACCATGCTTCAAGACAAAATTTCATTGATTTGTAATTAGAAATAAGTATTTCACAATATAAAATTACATATTGGTTTTGTGATTGATCACTATTCTTTAATTATGTTCAATTTGTAACAATTAAAATACATCCTGCATATCAGATATTTACATCATGATTCATAACAGTAGCAAAACTACAGTTATGACGTAGCAATGAAAATCATTTTATGGTTGGGGGTTACCACAACAAGAGGAACTATATTAAAGGGTCACAGCATTAAGAAGGCTGAGAACCACTGCTCTATAGGGTTCTGAGACTGGAAAACTTCCTGGGAGCAGACAGCCTCATCTTCCTCCGAGAGGCTACCGAGCTAGCAGTTAGCAGTTCAAAATGCATCCCACAGCACCCCCAGGGTTCCAGAAGCACTTGGGAAATACGAGGGGTGGGAAGAAAGTGGCCACAGAGCTGGAGAAGAGAGACCACTATCTAGCTTTGGGCAAGGTTTCCTAACAAACAGAGCAGACTGCATGTGTAGGAGCGCGCACTAGGAAACCTGGCATTGTACCTCATCAGCACTTCCCTTTCACTCCACCCACCACCCAGGCTGGTATATGTACATGCGTGCACTGTACATGTTCATGTCACACTCGCAGGGCACAAATGCTGGCGCTCTGAATGCACCGCACACACTCACCTCACACACACTCCCACACCAACCACACAGGCAACCGTCCCACCACCTCACCTCCTGCAGCATGCACACGCCAAAACATCACCCTCCCATTCACATCACACACCGCGGTTTCCTTCCTTTGCAATTCCGTGGCGAAAACCACAAATTTGACTTTCTAGAAATCAGACTGAAGCAGATAACCCACCTCCACTATGGTTGCACCTTAAGTTCTTTCAAAGAGATAAACAGGATAACAAAACACATGAATCAAAATGCGGAATCACAATGCCAGAGAACCAGAGAGAGGAGCAGGAAGCTTATCCCGCAGGGGAAAATCACAGGGTGTCATAAATGAATACCATCCTTATTTACATAGGGGCCCTGGTGGTGTAGTGGGTGTGTGCTGGGCTGCTACTGCAGTTCAAAACCACGAGCCATTCTGTGTGGAAAAGAGGATACCCTATTGACATGCGTAACACCATTATCCAGAGAGGATGGCATATGAGGTCTTTCTGTTGAGCTCCCCTTCATAGGCCCTCCATTCCAAATTGGGATGTTGGTGCCCAAGCCTGAACCTCCTCCACCAGCGGGGCTGACAGCCTCTCGAGGCCCAGGAGCCTATCACCATCTCCAAGGGTCAAAACCATTCCCTGTCTCAGTCCAAGGAGGATACGTGGTGACCAGTCATTGCCCAGAAATGGGATCCCTACATGTAATCCCTTGCTTATCAAGAGAGGATGGCAGATGAGATCTTCAGTTGGCAGATTGCTAATCATGCAGCCTTATACTCAATGACTGTAGGGTTTCTGTGGTCTCCTTCCAGGAACTCTCACTGTCAGATGTCATACAGCACCTCCTTTCAAAACATTCTCCGAACCGGAAGAAGAAAAAAAAACCCACCCACTGCCATGGATTCCGTTCTGACTCAAAGCGGCACTACAGAGCCGAATAGAACTGCTCCCTAGTGGTTGAGAGGCTATCAAGCTTTACTGGAGCTATCAGCCTCATCTTTCTCCTATGGAGTAGCTGGTGGGTTTGAAACGCTGATCTTGTGGT